ATTCCTCTTTCGGACCAAGTTGGTTGCTTCCCTCTTTTGTAAATCCTCTAGCAATGATGTTAATTACACCATGGAGATGGGTACCTTCTTTATCTTGCTCACATATTTGTGGCTTTGTGTTATTAGTGATCTAACAAACTCTTGAGGACTGGTTTGCAAACCTCTATTGCACCCGTGACCTCAGCCTCAACCTCGATAACCACCTTGATATTATCAAGATCATTTGATATAATGGTTGAGTTGTCTTGGCTGAATCAATTCTTCAATTTGATTCTTTTGCATCCAACATTCTTCTACCCTGTAACCATAATTTCTATGATAATGACAATGTTTGCATTTATCTGCATTGTTGGGATTATGTCCAGGTGGTGGCAAGGAGATCAAGTCTACATTATTAGCATCTTCCAAGATATTGACTCGAGGTTCATTTAACAGAGTACTACAAGAAAAATTAGCATTATCTATAGAAGAAATTCGTAGATAAGCATGAACATCCTTAGGTAAGTGTTAATTATCTACGAAAAAAAATTCGTAGGTAATAATGGAAAAATTTCCGTAGGTAACATTAACTACGAAAATTTTTCCGTAAGTAACGTTACATACGGAAAATTTTTCATAGATAACCCACAAAAGTTGTTATCTATGGATTTTCTCTGTAGATAATGTTATCTACAGAAATTTTTTCATAGATAACCCACGATAGTTGTTATCTACAGATTTTTCTGTAGATAACCTTCAAAAAAAATTTGTTTAATTTTAATAAATTTATTAATGTAACAACTCTCGTATTTGGCCTCTCAAGGATGTTATTTCATGATACTTCACTTTTCAACGTATTTTATCCTTACTGCACATTTTCAAGGAAACTTCCTAGAAGGTCACCCATCCCTATATTACTCCAAGTCAAGCACACTTAACTGTGAAGTTTTGATGAGATTAGCTACCGAAAAGCATATGCATGTTGTTAGTATTAGTACTACAAATTAATTCATTTAAGTCATCCTCAATTATACAATCTCATACTTATACTATCTTTGGATCCCTCTCATTTTGGTGTGTCCAGACTGCTATAAAAATTAAAAAATACATAATAATTATATTACCAATATTAATAATAATATTATATTTAATTAATCT